GCCCCCTCGACCACGGCTAGCGCATGGCTATGAGCACACACACACACACACGCCCATGCCGCCCCCTCACGGGGTCCCAGTTAATGACATTTAGATTTTTTTGTGTTTCCATCCGCACTGACGTCTTGTAATTGGTCAGCCGGTTAGTGCGGTCGATGCTAATAATAATAAAAGAATCACACACACATCCTCTCGTTCGCGTACCCCCCTATCTCTAAACAGGACCAAGCCAACGGCTGGAGGACCGCCGGTCCCGGCAAGTCAAGAGTCTTCCTCCTCGTCTTCCCAGTCGGGGAAAACGATGGGCTTTGCTCTCCCTCTCGGTGTGTCCTCCAAGAAGGCTCCCGGCGCTGATGAGGCCGCCGCCCGCACGGGCGGTGTTGGCGACGATGACGACGATGGGGCCCTCACGGACCTGCTTCTTGTGAGTGATGTTGGTGGTGGCGGGCGGGCGTCGTAGGAGTCGGTGTTGTTGTTTGTTGATGATGTTTTGTTTGTTGTCGTTGTTTTGCGGTCGTCGTTGTTTGTTGGTGATGGACGTGCTTCTTGTGAGGTATTTTATGTTACCTCTGTTGTTGTTGTTGTTGTTGTTGTTGTTGTTGTTGTTGTTGTTGTCGTTGATCGGCGTGCTTCATGCGTGTTGGTGGGGTTGGTGTTGGTGTGGATGGCCGCCCTTTGTTGTCTGTTGTGTGTGGTGGCGTAATAATGGTGTGTGTGTGTGCCCTCCCTCCTATATCCGAGGGGGAACCATGTTGAACATTTAGTATCAACCACAACAAGCGTGTTGCATTTCACAACCCCCGTGCATCCGCGTCCAGATCACCTCATTTTCGCCGATTGGAATGAGCCTCGTTCGCCTTATTCCCCTCATCCGTGCACACACACACCAATCCCTGCACCCGGGGTGCATACACGAGCCCCCCCCGCATAGTGTGCATAATATAGGCCCCTTTCTATGCGACTTGTCTTGCCGAACATGAAGAGATCCGTTCGTCCACGCCTTAGACAATGGACGCCTCGACCCGCTTTGCAGCCATTGCATGCATACCGTAAGGTGACGTAGGGTTTCACACACCCCCTGGAGCGTTTTTCAAAAGCCCGAATTATGCACAGCAGAAAGGGTGGCGGCGTCGAAGAATGTCGGCGTTTGGGGTCCACCGCCTCGTGCGAGAGGTTTCCGAAAGCGTATCGTTTGGCTCATATTTCCTCTTGGTCATGGAGTTACCCTCAAGACTCGACAGAACCCACGGGGGTGTCAGCCATTTCGTGGTGCGATTTCTCCACGAACGGGAGGGTACCACTGCCGACCAGGGTGACTTTGGGAGAATACTGTATCACGTCGAGAGCTTTCCTGAGAGGTATCGGTTGGTTGGTGTGGCGTGGTGTTGGCACCGTCCTGGTTGTGGACCAATGATCAAGCTTTGAAAAGCGCTACATTGCACCCCCCGTGCATCCTCTCGCATCCTCACGGTAATGGAGCCTTGAACGCCGGTCCGGGGGGGGGGTGGTATCTTCCGTTCACCACGGTACCGCAATTCCTTCCCGTCCCCCGTCCCCCCCCTTTGTACGACAAAAGTGACTTTCGAGGAAACAACCCGCCCCTTGTTGTGCGCACCAAACGGCAACGGCGATGGTCCGATCCCCGTTCAATCCCATACTAAATCTCTACCGTGGAAAGGCCGCAGTCCAAGACGTAAAGGACGTGGTGGACGCTTCGTTCGTGGAAGAGCTCGAGAACGCCTCCATCACCAGACCCATGGAAACCAGGGGGAACGGGAAGGGCAAGGGGGGACCGACGGGGGGACCAACGACGCGATCGTCCACGGCGGCGACAGGTTGGTTTGGGTGGTGGTTTTGAATGGGTGGATAGAAGCTCTGCTGGGGTCCTGGCTTTCTTTTTTTCAGGGGGTGCGGGAGAGAGCATCCGTTTGTTGTGCGTCTGGAGAGTTGTTGCTGCTGTTACCGTCTTGTTGCGGTTGCTGTTGTTGTTGTTGTGGCTGCTGCTGCTGCTGCTGCTGCTGCTGCTGCTGCCGTTGCTGCTAGTGTTGCGCTTGTTATATGCGGTGTTTGTTGTTGCAGCTACTTTTGTTGTCGAACCAAAGGCTGGCTCATGCCAAACATCCCCCTCCTACGGGATTCATGCACGCAAGTCCCATCATCCTTCTCCCTTATCCCCGAACCAAACCGTGCGTGCCGTACGCTCGTCGATCAGCAGCTGGGCCTGGCGGATCGGCGGCAACGGCAAGAGGCCGAGGCAGCAAAGGTAGTTCCTCAAGGAGGGGAGGGGGGCGGGGGAGCGGGACTCCGTCGCCCGCCGGAAACAGGTCGGGAGAGGGGGAGGGGGAGGGGGAAGACGAGTGGCACCGATATCGAGAGACTATGGCCCCTCTCCAGGTGACGAGAATGGTAGAAGGGGAGGGGGGAGCGTGAATCGGATCAATCTGTAAGCGTTCTTGAGGTGAAGGTTGGTGTTGCTATTTTGGGAGAAAGCACGATGTGCTCTGCACGTCGGGGGGGCTCCGTGAAGGATTGGGGTGGGAGGCGGGGGGGGGGCATGAACGGGGCCAATTTGCGCCCTGTAGGCATGCTTGAGGTGAAGATTGACGTTGTTGCTCGTGGAGACAACATGACTGTGGTCTGCACGTTGGTTGACCTGTTGCTGCTGTGGTCGTTTCCTGTTGAAACTGTTACCGCGCTCAAAAAAGTCACCATTCTCATGCCGCTCGCTTTCTGTAGTTGCGCTAGAAAACACTCCGTCTTCTGTGCGCTGTGTAGAAGCCGCTCTTTTTTCTTACCAGGACCTTCTCTCTTGGGTCATGTTGAAGCTGAAGAGGCGTGTTACCGTTGCCGTCGTCAGGGGGAGCCCAAAACGTTTCTCAATGCGCCCTAAACTCCCTGACTGCTGCGCTGCTTCTGTTTTTTTTTTTTTTGTCGGCAGTACGTGGAAGTTGAAGATTTGGTCGGTTTTTGCTTCAAGGCGGAGTCTTCGAAGACCGCCAACAGAGGGAACCCTCAGGTGTGTTTGTGGCTGCTGCTGCTGCTGCTGCTGCTGTACCCGCTTTTTTGCGGCCGCTGTTGTCGTTACTGCTACTGTTGCTGCTGTTGCTGCTGTTTTGTGGCTGCTGCTCTACTGCTGCTGCTGCTGCTGCTGTTGGTATTTGTGCCGGCGTGGTTGCTGCTCCTGCTCTTTTTTGTGTTGTGCCTGGTGCTGCAAACGCTGCTGCTGCTGTCGGTGTTGTCACCGTTATATATCGCGTGTTGTTTCTTTTCGCCACAACAAGCCAAACGTGTTCCACGTTGCGGCTCGACTTGCTTCTCTTGTATACTTGGTAGTAGTTGTTTTTATGCATGCATAATCGAAAAGCGCTGGCGGCATGCAGCTTTGACCAAGGAGTAAGACAGCCTTTGTGATGGCGTGGAAACTCACTGGAGAGAATTGATCGCTCACGTGTGCGAGGGACGACTGTTCTTTGGTTGCTCAGCGGATTACCTTGTGGTCTATTTTAACAGTATTTTTGCGTTCCTGTTGCGTTGCAACCCACGTACTCCGTCCTGTCGAGGACGCGTGGTCAAGTCTAACCGCTAAGGCGCGCAAAGCATCATTCCCCCCTCCCCGCACGAGGCATGGAATAGAGAGGAAAGGACGGTTGCTGTAGTGGGGCATAGGAGGTGGGTTGAAAAGGCGGGAAGGGATATCGTTAGGGTAGACAGAGTAGGGAAGACATTTGTTCTCGAGGACGCGTGGTCAATGGTCTAACCGCTAAGACATGCAAAACATAAGAGTACGCCCCCCCCGCCCCCCTCCCCGCACGTCCTCCGACCTCCGTCCCGTCCGTCCCCCCTCTGCAGAGAGTGAAGCGGTTGGGCCAGGAGCATGCGGATCTGAGCCAAAGCCTGCCGCTTTCTCTGTCTTCGTCCGTGTTTGTGAGGACTCACGAGGACCAGATGGACTGGATGCAGGTATATCGGTGTCTTGTCGTTCCTGCTGCCTACCTCTGCTGTCTTTGATGTAGCAAGCCATCGCTGAGCGCGGAGGCGGACCGGAACACCTGGCCGGGCGTTTTCGCTATACAGCAGACAGCGTGGTCTTCTGATAAACAACGTTATGGTTTAACGAAGGTTTGCTCCTGTTTTGTGTCCACCGGGTGACCCTTCCCCCCGTTGCCAACGGGTAGAGTGTTTTCTTTTGAAGGCATATAGACGTTATCCTCACAGAAAGAGTACCCATATGATCGCAGTCAAAAGGGATGTGCTCAAGTCTTGTCAGTGAGTGGAGGAAGCCGGATGGAAACTGGGCTTGTTTTGAGTTTGTTTCAGCTTATATACTTAAAGCGTGTTTTGTTTCAGAAATCGGACAGAAGAGTGTCTCATTTGTATGCAATACCTATTACAGTACGAGAATACGGCGGTTGAAGTCGGATATCACAAGCTGTACATCGCCCAACTCCATTCCCCCCGCCCATCTCCTCTTGTTGTTTCCGTCTTTCTTTCGTTCGAGATACACCGCCCAACAAGTTATGATTTTGCGTCCGGTTAGCCCTTCTTGTCACACACACACACACCCCTCTTATCATGTCTTCCCCTGTTCCATCTCTCGTTCGAAATACACCGCCGAAACAGCTTATGATCTGCGGCGCGGATGACACCCCCTTTCCACACATGCAACACAACATGGCCGCAGATCGTGGCCTATAGAACCATTTTGTGTTTTCCACCGCGCTGAGACTGACATATTTTCATTGGTCAGCCGGTTAGCGCCGTCGATGCTAATGAGAAAGACACACACACACACATACACACACACACCACCTTCTCTTACTTTCCCCCTGCTTTTATCTCTACAGGTTATGATTTCCGGTCCGGATGACACCCCCTACTCGGGGGGGCTGTTCGCCTTCGATATCTTCTTCCCGCACAACTATCCTCAGACCCCGCCCAAGGTCAAGCTCATGACCACGGGGGGCGGCACCCACCGCTTCAACCCCAACCTCTACGCCGGTGAGAGGGGGAGAGAGAGAGAGTGAGAGCGAGCGAGGGAGAGAGAGAAGGGCAGACAAGGGAAGGGGAGAGTTTCATTATGAGAGAGAGGAGTTTCTTCTTTGAGAGACATGCGTTCGTTGCTTCCTTCTTCTATGATTTACCGTGGTACATATGTTGAGAGATTTTTTGTTTTGTCTTTTCGTGGTAACGGCAGGCGCGCGCTGGAGGGCCTCCATTTTTTATTTTTCGCCGGCGTTTTTCTTTGGGTTGAACCAGAGGGGCAGGTAGATTGTGAAGTGCTTTGTTTGTTTCCCTTTGGTGTGGGGCAAACGTGAGCATAGAAAAAACAATACATTAACAACCGCACGCAGGCTATGTTCCGGTGAGAGCTGCAGACCAGCGTCGTGTTAGGTATTAATCAAATAATCAAATAATCGCATCCCCCCCCCCCCCCCCCCCCCCCCCCCCCCCCCCCCCCCCCCCCCCCCNGGGTTTGGGAGACGAGGGGACACGGGATGAATTCCAAAAGGGACTGGCTGGTAAAGTAGAATCCTTCAGGAAACTACTGAGAAGCGTCGAAGACGGACAGGTAGACGTACAAGCAGCAGGGGACAGGGTGATTGAAGGGTGGGAGTCCATCGTGAACGCAACGGCAGAGAGAGTAGTGTGAAAGAAGGTGGTACGATGCGGGGTATCGGTTAAGTGGTGGGATGACGAGCTGAAAGAAGAAATAGGGGAACGTAGAGAAGTCTTCAAGCAGTACCTGAGTGAGGCGTCTGAGGAGAGTTGGGAAAAGTACAGGGCCAAGAGAAAACAGGTGAAGGGACTAGTGAAAAAGAAGAAAAAGTGTATTTGGGACGAAGTAGTGCAGAAGGCCAACGGAGG